AGTAGAGCCAATCGCGAACAAATCCCTCTAGGCTTTCATTGTCCAGAAAACGCTGCCTTCTCATGACGCCTTTTAGGGCTCCAGACAGATGGTAATGGGGTGGTGATAAACCTGAACGCTATGGGACATATTTCAGGGATGTTTAGAACGAATTTGTGAAATTTCCAAGGGAACATTTTTGAGTTCTTCCATTACAAGTTGTGAAACCCTTTTTGCGAAAGTCTAGTATGTCACAAGTGACTATCTGGACACGCCATGTCATATACCCACTGAAGAAGCAATTTGGCTTACAAGGAGACGTCGGTCATTGTTGAACAGTGGAAATACATCAACCTCAGCATTCAGAAGTATAACTGTCTGCCCTTTCTTTTGCGACACTAAGAAGTAATTTAACTGTACTTAGTTTTTGTCTGAATAAGTTGCTTGTTAAATTATAAGAGCTTTGTTTTCCTGGCGTGGAATTTCCATGCGAGCAGTTACAAAACTTTGGCGAATGTAAACTGCAGCGACAGAGGGAATATTATAATCCCTATATGTAAATTGCAGCGGACTTCTCGTAATGTCCGAGAAAGGTCTACGTAAACTGCAGCGGTATGCAGATAGTACAGGTACCTGTATACTCACATACTCTACTCGATGCGTTTAGAAATCTATACAGGATTCGTCCTTTTTTCTAAATTGTATTAATGATTTTTCTTTTGAAATAGCGAAAAATAATGCGGTTTAAATGTATCCGCAAAACTTATTGGTAAATTTTCAGTCAATGTACAACAAAAATGAAGATATAGTTCTATGAATAAAAACATGGCTTTATGTTACAAATGCGAGTAAAAATGCGTCTTTTGGATTTAAAGTACCCAGAAATTAGCTTTATTTTCGTATAGTTCAGAAAAGATTAAAAATGCATTCCATATTTGTAGCGTAACATCGACGAAAAGCTATAATTGTATGTTACATAACATGTAGTTAATAAGCTACTCTCTTATTTCTTAATAGTAATTAGTGTTAGCTCCTTATATATCACGATTTTCGTGCATAAATGTGGTTTAATATTTCATACACCATCCGAGATAAAACAGATTCAGCAAACGCAATCGTTACAGTTTTATCACCTAGAACTTCAGTTATATTTGTACTTTATTGTTTGGTAGAAAACACATGTTTCTGGAAACTTGAAAAATTGTACAATGAATAACTCAAATTGTATTATTTTGTACAAACTTCTTGTTACAATTTCACCGAATTATGTCTTGCCATGTACAATATGCCAATATTGGGAAATAAAAAAATTAACCGTCCATGTAACATCAAAAACAATTAACCTTGTGGTATTATTATTCTTTTACTTTTGATTTTATTTTAACTATAGATGTGTCCTCTTTTCTGGTCCTGATGTTAAGCAATTCATCCTTCGTATTCCGCTCTTGATCAAGTACTTTCTTCTAGAGTGTTCTAGTTTTAACATAAATAATGAAAAACTATCCTCGGGGAGTGTGTGTCAGACTGGCCTATTTATAAACTGCTGGTTCCTAAGCTAGTGGCAAGCCTACACGCCGGTCGAAATTAAAACTTCTGAAATATGATTTTCATTACGGCCGGACCCATAGCGCTTCTGGGATTGCCATCGTGGAAATGAAACGGAGAATTTCAACGTAACTGGCGACCCGCCCAATAATAATAAATAAGAGACGGAATAAATTAGGCAGGTGTGCCGCGCTAGTTTAAGCGGGAGTTATGCTGGGAAGTGCAAATTTGCATTCGGCAAATAATAGAAAATCATAACTTCTGAAGCTCCCCGACAAATTCACGTTCTTGATAAGAGGGGCTCGTTCTGAGTGCAGCCCGTGTGAATTGTAATGGATAAGACGAGATCCAGAGGGTTTAAAATATCTGGAAAGTAAACGATGCTGCACGTGTACGCGATGAAGTTGCGCTGGAAGCTAATCCATAAGGGCGTGCACTTTACCGCAGCATTAAGTGTAACTGCTGTTCTTGAGCATCTCTTGTTTTCTTCAACAAGTTCATAATTTACTGGCGTTCATCTCCAAACTCTTACGATCTTTTGTTATATCTGGCGAGAAGAGCAACAGTAAGAAAGTTGGAGACCGCAGACGTGTGGCGGAGAAACAAAGTACAACGTTGATTGCCAACAAGGACAACAATTTGGCCAATTGGAAAGGGGAACGATGAAAAAGGCGCTGACGTAACGGGAAATAGTGCAAGGATATGAACAGGAAGATGTGGGTATGTGTGTGCGAAAGGGAAATAAAGGGAGAATGGGCCTAATCCTCAGTATAAAAGCTCCCCGGAGTCTGCATCGCAGAACTGTTTTTCACGGCCAGGAATTTAGGACGAAATTCCTGAAACCAAGATTTTATACGCAAGTCGCCAATGACAGCTCGGAATGCGCCGTAAATGCGGCCCTTATTATTTTGATGTCGTTAAAATATTTTAGTTTATTGTGGGACAGATTTGGCCAAATCGGAATCTAAAACGCTGTCAGATTGACAAAAGAGCAAAGTTCAAAGTTCACAAGGGAAATTATTCGAGAATGCCAGTGGTTTACCTAATCGAATGATTACTTACACTTATTATAGTGTCAACTATTCAATTTAAATATCCATTATCATCTTCACACGATACCTAACCAAGTCTAACTCATAACAATGGAAATAGGAAAAATCGCATTTTCGTTCTAAATTTACAACGATTGTTTAAAGCTCGTTTGAGGCGGCGCTAAATTTCAAACTAAATTTATGACGAATACGATTATACCATGGGAATTAAAAAAAAAATCGTCAAGTTATCGTTGGCGATTTTCTGTTTCCGCCGTGCAACTCACATTCGTCCTAAATTTAGTTTTCAATTTAATGTCGTGTCAAAGGGTCGAGGACGCTTTCTTTTATTCCCATGTTACTACTTGCATTCACTCTATATTTACTTTTAAATTTAGTGTCGCATTAAATTGGTATAAAATTCGAAGTGCACATAACAACATGGTAAACTCTTTGATGTTTATTATAAAATTTTAGTTCCACCAATTCTAGACTATACTAGAATTTTGAGGATGACAGAAAATTCTGTACAATGAGATTGTGTCTCAACTGGTGTCAGTGTACTAAAAAGTTGTTTAAATATAATGTAATAGGATGAAAGAAAAGTTGCTTTCTTGTCGGTTATGAACTTGATCTTAAACTCTGTAAGTAAAAAATTAATGTTCACGTCTTCATCGTTTACACACAAGTTTGTAACTAAGTTTGTTGTGCAGTGCTGCTATTTATCCACAAAAAAATGAGGGGTAGTTAAAAAAAATGTTGGTCGGTTGTACCAGTACTTTTCGACTTTGGTCGCAGCATTCTAAAAACTAGGATTATGAATTACTAGAAAGACAGTATCATTGGATTTTTGGCATAAAAGCGTCAACACTCAACCCCGACATGTCTAACGTTTCGCTTTGGTATATTTTACTACGAGTGCGACTTTTCAATTCATAGTTTAAATTTTTTACGTTGTGCACTTTGTGTTTTTATTATTTCTCAGTGACTACTTATCTATGCGATTAAAATATTTTTTTTATAAATGACTACACGAAATTAAACTAATTAGTGAGCTGCCATGAGTTGGAGTTTTTATTCTAATCAACTTACACATTTTGTTGTAATATTATATATATCTGATGTATTCGGCCCTTTGTTGAAATGAAATCTGTTTTACGTTAACGAGAGTTAACATACATTTTTAATTATTCAAATTCCTAAAAATTTATTGCTGTTTATACAGACATTGCTGCTCTTTGCTTGTTTTGCGTTTCGTCTCAAAGATACCGTTCTTATAAACTTCAAACGGATCTGAGTGAGAACCTGCAACGTCGAAAAATTACAAAACTAATGGTTGATGATTAAGGCGAAACCGGACACGATTTAGTACTAGCAAAAACTCAATAGATGGCGCGGAATTTATTTCACGATTTTTACAAAAAGTAATGAATTTTAGTAAAATATTTTGGACACATTAGCCAAAATAAATACATAGAAATAGATACAACGTTCAATTTTTTTTTAAATTGTTTTATTTTTTGAAATACACATACTTACCGACACATTGTGATAATTTAAAAAAATCTGGTAGCCAGCATAAATAAAGCATTATCCACAGAACGTAAATATAAATTTATTTAATAATTATAACCAATAATAATAACATAAACAGAAAAATACATTTTTCTTTGATGTTGCGCCGCCCGATATACTCTCACGGAAGCAGTTAATTTGTTTCCCCCTCTCCCATCACAACTTCAAGAAAACTGCCACCAGACGAATTTCGTGGAAGTAGAAACCCGATCTTGTTCATTTAGGATAAGATATTCATTTTCCAATTTTTGTAAGCCGTTGTGTTGTGGTGCAGCCGTGGTGCAAAATTGCTTAATTTTTTATTTATATAAAACTCAGGTAAGTAAACTAAGTAACTATTGCTTAATCTATATAGATACCAAATAATTAAAAAGTGGTTACGGACGTACCTTTTCCTTCTTTTATTTCGTTCGTTATTCGAAGAAAAAAACAAATTTATAAATTCCACCACAAATCTAAACAATTTTTCAATTGGCAAATTTAATAAGAATACTACCGGTACATTATCATATTAAATAAAAATACATAGCAACATAAAACGTACGAATTTAGAATAGTTACTTACATGTAAGTACAAGTATAATAAGAATCATAATGGCAAATGTATGGAAATGACTTTAATTTGAAGTATGTGAATCGTCTAATAAAAAAGTTTTATACGTTTACTCACTATTACAATTGTAGGAAGATGGACTACAGATACTCTACTAAGGGTAAAAATCATTTACGACTTAGTAGAAAAAGAAAAAGGTCTACTGCGAAAATAACTTATACAATTAATGTAAGTAAAGACTTAGTAAAAATAGAGTTATGATATTCTATATTTTAATTTTCCAAATTTTCGTGTCTATAGCAAAAAAAGGAAAGAAGTTCAAACACCGAGAAAAATACCAACCAATCTACAAGGTAAATATTTATTGATAATGTTTAAAATATCTACTAGTCTTGAAATGTTTGTACCATTTTTATAGTTCTCTGACCTCAGAAGGTAACAACAATGTACCTACCTCGCACGCAGAAGGGGAAAGTTCAGTAACAGAAGATACTACGTATGTTGAATAATTGAAATTAATTAATTCTTTATAATTAGTTTGTATTTTGACGATTACTAACAACGTAAGTTTTGTAAATAGATATGAAACAGGGAATGAAAATCGCAGGAATCAAAGACAACTTACTTTATCTTCAAAGAGAAAAAAACGAGTAGTGAACATTGGACTCCTGAATTGGAATATTAAAAGGTGCACACTTAATTTTAACTACATATTATCTACTCGTATTTACACAGAATATTTTGAAATTTGACGATTTCCAGGTCAACTTATAAAACAAACAAAACATGTGAAGATGTTCCTCTGTCTAACGATCAGCAACATGCGAACGCAAGGTAACGAGCATTATTATTAATACTACTTTTTTTTTATTTGAAGTAATTTTATGCAAAACTATTTCTCCTAGAGATACTTTGGTCACGAGTAATATATATGAATTTGATGAACCAGACGAAGAGTCACCACCGAATCAAACAATCATTCAGCATGAGTAATAATTATTTACTATACATAATAACAAATGTGTGCAATCCTTATTTTTATTTTTAAGGGAGCCTATCACTGATTTAGAAAATATGGTTGTCGAACAAATACCACCAAATCCTGGAAATGATCCCCTCATTAATGATATATATGTGGTAGATTTGTAGTTGACGGTAAACATTTTTTGAAGGAATTACGAAAACTGGAATATCATCGTCATGAATGCTTAAGGAGTTCGGACGGTTATTTCAAATTGCTAAAGTCTAGTTGTAAAAATTTAATATGGCTTTTACAATTCCAATGTCCATACTGCAAAATTACTAAAACTGTTGCAAGTGAACCTCCAACAGCAACTCCAAGTACTCATGATGACGCAAAAGAGAACAAGCAATGTATGCCTCAAACAAGCACCTTTCAAAAAATTACCACCACACGTCAACTATCATTGAGTGGAAGTGCCGTCTGGGGTACAATCTCAACAGGGAACGGACATTTTCAAATGGAAGAAATTTTTTCAACTATAGGAGTTAAAACTATAGACCAGAAAACATTTTCCAAAATAGAAATGAATTTGGGTAAAGTAAGTAATAGGTATATGAAAAGAATGATTGATGGCTAAAGTCTTTATACTTGTTATTGTTCTAAAGGTTTGGCATGAAATTCTGTTCGAATCTATGATGGAGACAGGAGAAGAAGAAAAAAGATTGGCTATTGAAAGCGGTGATGTAACTTCAGATGGAACACCTTTCATCACCGTTATAGTCGATGGCGGATGGTCTCACCGTAGCTACGGGCACAGATACACTGCCAACTCGGGGGTGGCGTGTGTCATAGGCAAACGCACCAAAAAACTTTTGCATTTAGACGTACTTAATAAATATTGCGCTATGTGTCTCTACCGAAAAAAACAAAATATGACTGAAGGACACGAAAATTGTTTCAAAAATTGGAATGGAAGTTCTGCTGCTATGGAAGCCGATATGTTAGTACAAGCTTTTCGACAAAGTAAAACTTTGCATGGTTTGGAATATAGACGTTTTATTGGAGATGGTGATTCAAGTGTATTCGCACGACTTTATGAGAAAGTTTCATATGGACGAAATATTGAAAAACTGGAATGTGCAAACCATGCTATAAAAAACTATACCAAAGCACTTTGCAAAGTACAAGGCGTTTCTAAAATTATTAGGTCAGTGCTTACGCCAGGAGTGGTCAGACGTCTGAAGATAGGGGCAAGATGTGCTATAATTCATAATTCAAAAGAGAATCAGAATCCTGAAATATTAAAAGAGGATTTGAGAAACGGACCAGCCCATGTATTCGGCATTCACAAAAATTGTAAAAATTATTTTTGTCATTCAGACAAAAGTGAAAAGGTTTTAACAGATAATGAACTTGCTGCATATAATTATGTGCACGAATGTCTTAAGCCCTTGTTACGAAAAGCACCACGGCTTGTTACTAATGATACCAGCAATTTGGCTGAAAACTTTATGTCACTTGTGGCAAAGTTTGTTGGTGGAAAACAAATTGATCGTGGGAAAAGAGGAGCCTATACTATACGAGCTCGAAGTGCAGGTCTTGATTTCCAATATGGTCTTATGTGGCACTATAATAGTATGAAAAAAGTTATTGGGAAAAGTCCTTCTTGCTTGGTGAAACGGCTTGGGGAGAAACGCTTAAAAAAACAAAGTAACACCAGAAGATCGCTATTTAATTCAGGAAAACCTAGACGAAAAGTAAAAAATAACAATGACGGTTGTAAAGATTATGGAGAATCGTGCCATAAACTAGATTTGGATGAAGAAGAATTTAAAAAAGAAAAAGAACAATTTCTCAAAAATATAGCCCTATCGTGCAAGGAAGAACAAGACAATATTGAAGAAACTACCAGAGGACAACGAGAAAATGAGGAATGGTTTAACCAAAGGAAAAACAGATTAACTGCATCACTCTTTGGCTCGGTGGTAAAACGCAGAAAATCTAGTAGTTGGGCCAAGTTGGTAGAACAAATTTGTTATAAAAGTTTAATAAATTGTCCAGCCATTAATTATGGAATATTGAATGAAAAAACGGCGATAACCGCTTACCAAGAAAAAACAAAAAATGTTGTAGTTGAATGCGGCCTCTTTGTTGATTTGGAAAATGGTTTCCTAGCTGCTTCTCCGGATGGTCTCATTGGAGAAAATGGAATCCTTGAAGTTAAGTGTCCAAAGAGTGCTGAAAATTTAACTGTAGAGGAGGCTTCTAAAACTTTAAAGCAGTTTTACATAGACAAAAAACAAGGCTGTCTAAAAAGAACTCACGACTACTTTTATCAAGTCCAAGGGCAATTGCATATCAGTAATCGTGAGTTTTGTGATTTTGTTGTATGGACAAGGAAAGATTTGTACGTTGAACGTATATTTAAAGATGACAACTTTTGGCAAAATAAAATGTTCCCTAAATTAAAATATTTTTATCATGAAGCATTACTGCCAGAACTGGTAGATCCCCGAAAGTGTAGAAATATGCCTTTAAGAGAACCAAATAAAAATATATTGTTTTAGACTATTTTTTATTTTAAAATATCAAAAGATATTTTTATCTATCATATCTAAAAGTATTGCAGCTCCAAAAGAATGACGTCATCCTCTCTACAGATGTAAGTCGCGTGCTTATAAACTAGTTGGCGGCGCCTGCAAAAGGCTATGGTATTTTACTGTTTCGTACTTTATTATTAGAAATATGTAAGTGGAAATGTTGTTAACAAATTTAGTAGACATTGTAGTATTAGGGCCGGCTAATGAAAGTTTTAATTTTTTGAAAATTCCAAAATTTATGTTTATTACTTAAAAAAAAATCATATATTAAAAAAAATTGAACGTTATATCTTTTTCTAAGATATAACTATAAACGAATATCATTTAAAATTATTTTTATACCAAATATTGTTTAAATGAACAGTGAAATAAATTTCGGTATGTTTTGTCTCTCTCGCACACTTGGTCGTCCGGTTTCGCCTTAACGTACAGAATTTTGTTGTCTTCGTACCTAAAGCCGAGAGTTAGGCAAACGAGCATGTTTCGATTTAAAATTACTTTGACAGTCTCCTAATGATAACAAACAGATTTGAATAGCTCAACCATGTTGATTTATATATGTGTGTCCTATACTCCTATATAATATAGTTTTCTTTTTTTTTTTGACGTGACAACGTCTTATAATTCGATTGAGCCGGCTGCACGCACGAAAAAACATGACTCATGCGGCGTTACCTCGCTCTGGCGTTACCTCGCTCTGAGGCGTTCCATGTAAGGCTTGAAGTGCAAGCGAGAACGCGGAACGAGCGACAAAGAGGCACAATCGGCCTTCGCGTTCGGCAGCGTTCGCCATCCGTCTCTGTTCGGGTTTCGGTTTTACCTACCAACCGCAACCCTTGTCAACAAGCGTCCCCAACTTTCTCTTCTACCTGCAATGTATCGCTTCCGATTTTAACAACTTTGTACATAGACTCCGAACCGTCAACAACAAGTAAATACAGTGTTACACAGCACATGTTTGTGTTTTCATTCATATCAATCTTTTTCGGTACGTATGTATGAATAACAATCATACATCCCACATTGGTCCTTCGAGCCGGATCTCTCCACATGTGTGATCCAGTGCTGTGAATTCAACAATAAAACGCGGTGGTGCCATTTTTCGACGCCTGTATCGGGAGACGTGATCTACCGGCCATCGGAGTTCCCTACCGGACAGGAGAGCAGCGAATCCAGCCCATCCAGTCGTTTCATCCAAGGTTCCAAGTGACCTTATCACGTTTTTGGTAATTTTCGACGCCTATATCGGGAGACGTGACCTACCGGCCATCGGAGTTCCCTACCGAGCAGGAGAGCAGCGAATTGAGCCCATCCAGTCAATTCACCCAGGCTCCAGGTGATCTTATTACGGTTTTGGCAATTTTCGACGCCTGCATCAGGAGACGGGATCCAGCCATTGGAAATTCCCAACCGGACAGGAGAGCAGCGAATCAGTCTAGCCGTCCCAGGTGCCAGAGGGCCTTATTGCGGTGAGTGGGTTCCAACTATTCCTTTTCTTTATCTATTTCCGGTCAAGCACGCATTCGACCGTAATTGTACGTCATTTTATTTAAATTTCATTGGCAAGTACCATTTACCTTGCCCGAACTGTACCAGTTTTACGTATTTCAACTAAGCGGTTTTTCAAATGGTTATGACGCGTTCGCAAACTTTCGATGCTCCACACATGGCAGGCGCGGAAGGTGACGACAATGCCGAAACATTTTCGGACTCAAATCCTACACCAGAGGATGCAGGAAATTTACAAATTTTATTCTTAAAAAGAAATCGCATTCACGACGAAATATCGCGTTTCAAGTTGTGGTTTGAAACAAACAATCTAAGTACATCCGCTTCTCGACTAAGAGTAAGATTGCGCGATTTTGTACGTATTAAGGCTCAGTTTGACAAAATCCATTCTCAAATTGAAGCTCTTGATGACGCCACCCCCGATTTAGAACAAGCTACCACAAGACTTTATTTTGAAAACGCGTATTACGATTTATGTGCAGATGTCGAAGATGCTATTGAACAAAAACGCGTTAACACATCTTCACCTGCACCGCAAGGTAACGCACCTACGAGCACACCGTCACCATCGGTGCAGTCGCTCCCGAATGTTATTAAACCGTTTAGCGGAATTTATACTGAATGGCTACCTTTTTATA